AAAGTAGGTTAAGTAACGTGAGCTTTTTAAAAAAGTACTTTAAAACAATATAAAAAAATTTTTTATGTATTGTGTAACGAATCTACGAATGATGTGACGGTTCCCCCTGTTCCCCTCCCCTAAGAGTTTTACTATAAATATAATTATAGTTACATGTTTATTAAATTTTGGCAATATTGATCTGAAATATCGCACATGTGTGTCTCGAAATAACGCACAGATGTGCATTATTACATGAAAATATAGTAATCAATCTTATAGTTAGAGCCACTTTATATTAGGGGTCAGGGTCGATGATTTTCTGCGGTGATAATTATTTATTTTTACAGCTGTTTTCAATTTGAGGACATCTAAAAAATTGACCGAATGTGCATACCTTGCTAATGACAGTGATAATGTATATGTATCAATATCACTATTTTGTTTTTGCGCTTCAGATAAGTTGGATATTTCAGATTCAACAGAGTTACTTCAGACAAACTAAGGCATTTTTAAATGTTTACTATAGACAAACAAGCTAAAGGTTCCTTATTTGTTAGATCAACCGTCTCAATATTTCATCTGATTAATACTGATTTGCTTTTTGGTTTTTATTTTAAAAAAAATTCAATAAACACTTTATAGATTTTTACCATAATTTCATTGATTATAATTTTCAATGCAGTTTCGACAAATATTAATAAAAACTTGGTTATTTGTAATTATAAACTTGACATATCGGCGGATTTTCGGAATTGGGTTTACATGGGTTTGTAAAATGATCCCATATGTATATAAAAATAATTTAAGGAGCAATTAGCAATAGCGCTACATTTGTATTGTTATTGTTATTTACTTCTTAAATTATTTTTATATACATACGTAATAAAAAATTTACATTTAGGATTCATTTTACAAACCCATGAAAACCCAATTCTAAAAATCCGTCAATATGAGTTATATTTTTCTTTAGTTCAGTCAATAAATTCTTGCTCATATCGAACTTTTTTTTTTTTAACGCCTTCTCGTGTCATATATTTAGAATGAAAGTTTGTCTTATATTCAGAACCTTTTCATATTTTTTGTTGGTTGGCAAGAACAAACTCCATCATAAATTTTCGTACAGACTAATACACCAAAATATACTGGATATGCATTCAAGCAAAAACTTAATTTCAGATGTAGAATATAGAATATATATCATTATCGCTATATTACTAGATGTCTCAAATTTAATCATCTAGCTCTGGGTTGGGTTAGGCACAAAAAATTGAGATTGTCTATTTAATCATATTTTTTGATCTGTTACATTAATATTGATTTGAAATCGGTAAAATTTTTAAAATCTACAGAATTCATTGATCTTCAGACTGCTGGTTTTTTATATTTTTCTTGTTTTGCTTCTAATAATAATTCACGCATGTACTTTTACAAAGTTATAATTTCTTGGGATTAAATATATTTTCATTAGAGACATAGTGCGTACAATGTTTAAGGTTTATTTTTTTATTTTTTTAATTAGTTATAAAATACAGTGATCATCATAATATCACATGACAATCCTTGGCCTAGATTAGGATTAGTTTAGAGTTATAGTTTAGGCCAGCCTGTTTAATTCTGGTAAACAAATGACGTCATGATTGTTTATGTTAGTATAGGGTGCCAGGATTATGATGATAATTTGACCTGTACCACATACACATTACGCGTCACATAAAGTTGCATATTTCACATAATAATTCGCATAATAGCTTTTTGGTCAATGAAATTGCTCAAAATAGAATAAAAAGCTAGGGTTTGGAACTGGTATATTTTTCGCTAGTTAAACCAGGTTTGATCGGTTTAGTATATGAAAAATAAACCCGGTTCCAAACTCTATATAGATAGGACAAATAACCAATCATGGCACTTTAAATAATTTTCTTTGATCATATTGGTTCAATTTTAAGCGGCCTATGTACACATATACTGTATATTAATATACAAAATAATGAGATATTTAAAAAATGTTAATATCTTATTTAGATTCGCGCAGTTTTTAAATCATAATAATATTTTTTCAAAAAATATTTTTTACATATTTTTCAGAATTTGTGGTATAGCGCATAATATGTGCATATTTTAAGCTAAAAACTCGCATAATTTGTATGCAAAATTTGGACATCCTCGCACCATAATCCTGGACACCCTACGTTCGATCCGTGATCATTACACAGATCACATTCGTCGGGTCTCACATGGCTTTGCTTTAAGATCTTTGAAGAGATAATCTATCTCTTTACACTCTCCTCCACTTAAAGACAAACCCATTCCTTTTTCAAACTCATCAACTAACAACTTGCAATTAACAAGATTTGCAAGTGGCGTCATGAAGCGGGTAGCCCTTCCATTTTACTAAATACTCGTTTATCCTAGATGCATTTAGCTTCATACTCTAACTCCTATTAATATAGGTGGCGGTGGTGTAATGTTTCTATTTTCAAATTCATTAGAGTGATAGAGGTTTAATAGTGAGACGTGGAAAACGGGGTCAACTCTTATCGTTTCTGGTAATTGTAGTGGTGAAGACTTTTTTAACAATTTCAAAAGGTTCGATGAATCTTGGGGTGAGTTTCCTTGGTAGTCTTTGTATATTTTCTGGTGGCATTAGATTTATTTTAAATCGTCCCTTAAAATTTCAATTTATTTTTCTTGGGCTTCGTGCTTCTATTATTTAAAAACGGGCTTAGGTCGAAGTTTTGTAATAGATCTGGCCTGGCGGGCTTCCATTCCAATACTAACTGTTTCTTTTTAACCTATTTCATCACTCTTTCTTACGAAATTGGCAATGGTTACTCATGATGGATTACTGTTCGTGTTTTCAATTTGTGATCTTACATAACTACAGAACTAGTGGTTGGACCCGGGTAGGTGCCACTCGGGTCACCCGCGGGTGGGCGGGTAACCGGTGGAGTTTTGGCCACTGGGTCACCTGACGGTGACCCGTGAACAATAATTGCAATTGCTTTACTAAACTTCAATCCAAATATGCATTTGTATGTATATTTTTTTATTTTTTTAAAAAAAAAAATCTTTTCAAAAATGGATTTTATATTAGACTAAGGGTGTTCTCAAGCACCCACTCAATGGGTCGGAGGTAAATTTTTAAACGTTACCATTTCACTGAGATACAAACCATTCAAAAATTTACCATTGATAAAAGAC